ATTAGGGGGCCCTTGGGGGCCCCCCAAGACCACTTTAACAAGAGTGTAGGTCTTGGGGGCCCCTCGGGGGCCCCCTAAGTCCACTTTAACAATAATGTAGGTCTTGGGGGCCCCCCGGGGGCCCCCTTTGTCCACTTTAACAACAATATAGGACTTGGGGGGCCCCTGGGGGCCCCCCAAGACCACTATAACAACAATGTAGAAACTGGGGGCCCCCTTGGGGGCCCCTAACAGCAACAAGGGAAATAGGGGCAGCAGCAAAGGCACTCTAGCAGCTGCAGCACAGAGTAGTTTGCTGCAGGGGCCCCCTTGGGGCTTTTCTAGGGGCTCAGGGGGCCCCCCAAGGCCCCAGGGGGCCCCCTCCCAGTACCCTCTGGGGCTTTGGGGGCCCCTGGGGGCCCTCAGGGGGGCCCCCTGTCCGAGTCCTCCTAGGCACTCTTGTGGGGCCGCCCTTTAAGGTACAGGCCCTCTAGGGGCCCCGTAGGGGGCCCCTAGAGGGCCTCAGGTCCCTCTTTGTCCACAGGGGGCCCCACACTCTGGGTACCCTTTCAGGGCCCCCGGGGGCCCCGGGGGGCCCCCCGGGGGCCCCCCGAGGGCCCCTTTAGGAATGCCAGATGGGGGCCCTTGAGGTATTGTAATTTTGACTGTTAGTTTGGGGTGTATCACCACCTCAACAATTTGCATGCATGCAGCCGTACTGCAGCAGATGAGCTCTAAACCCTAAACCCTAAACCCTCGCTAAACCCTCGTAGTGGTTTCTCCCCTCCATGTTTCTCTTTTTCTCATTCGCTCTGCATGCAAATCCCTTGCACACGCAAACCCTAAACCCTAATCCAGCGTCACCCTGATGCTGTTTTATTTGCTGCAGCAGCAGCAGCAGCAGCAAGTAAAACTGCTGCAGCAGCAGCGCCCACGTTGTTGGAGTGTACGTACACCTCAGAGCAAGCAAGCTGGACAAACGCCAATATTCAAAAAACAATAACGAAATAATTAAATTTGAATTCTCTGAATTCATTTGAGCACAAAAAGATGCTTTAACAAGATTTAAAATATTAATTTTAATTCCCCTTCTGATTTTAAATTCAAGAAGACATTTGCGCGGTTTTGAAACCGCAGGTGTACGTACACCCCAACGCACACAGTGTAGAATATGGAGCTTCGGGCTGAAGCTGCAGACAAGTCGGGGGATGAATTTCATTTTGTTGAATTCATTTAAATAAAATAATTAATTTAAATAAATAAAATGGAATAATTAATTTAAATAAATAAAATAAAATAAAATGTGCTTTTCAGGTTCGCTTTGTTTGCATTGGAGGGAAATTTTCAACTGGTTGAATGACGCAGTTCTGGGGTGTACGTACACCGCAAGTTGTGCGGGCAAAAAGGCTGAATTGTTTTTCTGCATTTCAGTGTCTGTACACCTGAAATTTGAACACTTTAATCAAAAGTTTTTGAACTTGAGTATTGCATTTTTAGTTGTTTTCGAGTGTCTGTACACTCCGCAGTGGCTGGCCAAAGGGGTCGTTTTGCGAAAATAAAAGAAACAAAAGTTTCAAAATTTGGAAAATGAGTTTTAAATGGACTTTTAAATGCAAATAAAGTCTAAAGGACAACTGCAGCAGCAGCTGGAGCTCTGAATTACTTTTAAATTCAGTTTTAGTCTCAAGAATGAGAAAATTGGATTTCTGAATTAATTCCAAGTTCAAATTTAAAGCCAAATGCACTTATTTGTATCTAAAGAAGCCACGCAGGTACTTCTTCCGGATTTCCGCACCAAGAATGGGATTTAAATGCTTTTATTGGGATTTAAATGTTTTTATTGGGATTTAAATGCCTTTATTATTCTTTATTCAGACTCTCATTGCAATTTAAAAACATTTCTGATTTCTGATTCTTCAAACGAACGGAAACCCCGCGCGTGGGGTGTCTGTACACCGCAACTGCAGTGCGCACTGCGCACAACAGTCAAAAACTTTTTCCTAAAAACACTTTTTGATGGCCAATTAGTGCAAATTAAATGCATGCATTTGATTTATATCAAATGCATGCATTTAATTTGCATTATTTGCCTCCAAGTGGGCTCAAATTTGGCCAAAAAGTCATTTTAATTCCCTCAAGTTTTCGCGCATTTGCGGTGTACGTACACCATGCCTCTTTGCGCGCCTCCGCTGTACGTACACCCCAGCAGCGGCGGAAAATGCCATTTCAAATGCCATTTTAAATGCCATTTTAAATGCCATTTTAAATGCCATTTTAAATGACATTTTGAATGCATTTTAAGTGCCTTTTAATGCCACTTTAAATGCCATTTTAAAGTAAATGTTTTTCCACTTTTTTTGGATTTCAATGTTCCATTTTGAAAGGAAAAAATGCCCAAAATAAGTGACAATTGAGGTGTACAGACAGCTCATTTGTGAGCATTTTGGCTGCATGCAGCGCCGCCTTTGTCTGCTCAAATCAACACACTTTTAGATCCAAAAAAGAGTAAACCCTAAACCCTAAACCCTAAACCCTAAACCCTAAACCCTAAACCCTAGATGCCCCGATTGGGGGAAAAGATGAGCGCCTGAGGCCCCAGAATTTAAAAAAGGAAAAACCCGAAGGCCCTAAACCCTCAGAGGGTTTGTGTTTTTCTTTTTATTTATTTCTTTTTTATTTCTTTGTTTATTTTCTGCAGACTTCTCCCCAAAATTAAATCCATTTTATTTCCTTTTTCAAATCCAAGGCCACTGCATGCATATTTCATTTAATTAAATGCATGCAATTCAATCATATATCATTTATATATCCTAAAAGACTAACATGCATTTATATCTGTACCTGAGGGGACCCCGGGGGCCCCTCTTTCTGTTGAGTTTATTTTTTTATTTTTTGTTTTTTTCTGTTTGAAAATAAAAATGAAAATAAAATAAAGAAATCCATTTGATTGGTTATCTTGCTGCGGCTGTTTGGCTCGCTGGCTGCTGGCTAGCCGGCCCAGCAAACCCTAAACCCTAAACCCTAAACCCTAAACCCTAAACCCTAAACCCTAAACCCTAGGCAAATGGCTCTTTATTCGGGGCAGCAAAAAGAGTCTTTAGAGCTCGCAGCAGCTCTTGTGCGGCTGGGGCCTCTCGACGCCGTTAACGAGAGTCTCGCCCATGCAGGTAAAAACCCTAAACCCTAAACCCTAAACCCTAAACCCTAAACCCTAAACCCTAGGCCCTGGGGATGAGCAGCTGGGTGAGACGGGGCGTATGGGGCCGAGACACGGGAGGAACTGCAGCAAGAGGAGCAGCAGCTGCTGCTGCAGCAGCAACTCCATTGCTGCAGCAGCAACTCAGTTACTGCAGCAGCAACTCCATTGCTGCAGCAGCAACTCAATCGCTGTAGCAGCAACTCCATTGCTGTAGCAGCAACTCCATTGCTGCAGCAGCAACTCTTATTGCTGCAGCAGTAACTCTTATTGCTGCAGCAGCAACTCCATTGCTGCAGCAGCAACATCGACTGCTGCTGCAGCCATGGCAACAGCAGCAGCAACAACAACAGCAACAGCAGCAGCAACAACAGCAACAGCAGCAGCGGCAACAACAGCAGCAGCAACAGCAGCAGCAACAGCAGCAACAGCAGCAACAGCAACAGTTAAAGCTCCTGCCCGATGCTCTCCAAACCCTAAACCCTAAACCCTAAACCCTAAACCCTTTTTATTCTGTTTGCTGCAGCTGCACTCTGCCCCAGCATTGAGGGTTTGCTGAGGGACAGGTGCCAGGGCATTCCGGAGCTCCTCGTAGACCCTGCGGTAACCCTAAACCCTAAACCCTAAACCCTAAACCCTAAACCCTAAACCCTAGCAAGTGCAAAGACCCTAGCTTTCTCTCACTTACCGGGGGTTTGAGTCCTTATAAAGCCTAAACCCTTGCAGAACTAAACCCCAAAGCCTCAGCAGCTAAGCCCTAAACCCCAAACCCTCGGCAGCCAAACCCTAAACCCTAAACCCTCATTCGGGCAGCAGCAGCAGCAGCAGCAGCAGCACTGCTCACGCGGCTTCACTGGCTGCAGCTGGCCCCTCAGGGTTTAGGGTTTAGGGTTTAGCGTCTTCTCTGAGCACTCCTGGGGCCCCGCCTTAGGGTTTAGGGTTTAGGGTTTAGGGTTTAGGGTTTAGGGTTTGCGGCAGGCGGGCAAGTACTTCATCGCCTCTTCTTTCAACAAATTAAAAAACAGTTTCCGCAGCCCCTGGACAGACACTTGGCTGCCCCCCATCTCCGACGCCAGCAAGCCGTAAGCAGCTAGCTAGCTAGCTAGCTAGCTAGCTAGCTAGCTAGCTAGCTAGCCAAGTAGCTAGCTAGCTAGCTAGCTGGCTATTTAGCCAGCTAGCTGGCTAGCTAGGTAGCTATATAGCTAGATGGCTGGCTACCTAGCTGGCTGGCTAGGTAGCTAGCTATCTAGCCAGCTATTTAGTTAGATAGCTAGATATTCAGCTAGCTAGCTAGCTAGTTAGCTAGCTGGCTGGCTAGCTAGCTTTTTATCTGTCCAGCTAGCTAGCTATGCAGCTAGCTAGCTAGCTATTTAGCTAGCTAGCCAGCTAGTTAGCGCAGCCAAGTGACTAGCAAACTTCTCTGGCTAGCTACTTATCCAGCTAGCTAGCTAGCTAGCTAGCTAGCTAGCTGGCCAGCTTATTTTCCAGCAAGCTAGCCCTCTAGGAAGTAAATAGCCTTCTTGCTGCTTCATAGCTAGCTAAATTCCGAGCCAATTCCTGGCTAGCTAGCTAGGTAGCTGGCCAGCGAGCTGCTTACCAGCTAGCTAGCTAGCTATCTGGAAGGTATTCCAAATGGCTAGCTAGCTAGCTAGCTGCCTTTCTGGATAGCTAGCCAGCCCTCTGTCTAGCTAGCTAGCTACCTGTCTAGCTAGCTCATCCATCTAGCTAGCTAGCTAGCTAGCTAGCTGTCTGTTTATCTGGTTAACTATCTGGCTAGCCATCTGGCTAGCTAGCTAGCTAGATGGCTAGCTAGCTGGCTAGCTAG